TCTCTCTCTGCTGCGCCGCGTTGGGAGACAGCGAGACATTGTTGAACTACCAGCTGTTCACAATAATTCAGACAGTAAATGATTTTCAGAGCTGAATGAGTCAGACTTCTTTGTTTCTGATTATTTTAGTTTCCTCCTTAATGTCCGTCCCAGATAAACCCAAAGAATCAATCTAAACGGAATAAGATCTGTTTCCCCTGAAGCTGCAGATGTTCCTCTGACCTCTGAAAGCATTTGTCCTTACTCTGTTTTTCCTAAAGCTGTACTGATTCCCTGAAAGGCCTTCCTGTGGAGAACACGCTCGCTCTATTCCAGCCGAAGCCGTTCGCCTCACAGGTGGTCATTCAGATTCAGCTCTGGTTCTGGCAGGAAGGTTGGAAAAAAGCAGGAAAATCAGGATGACAGGAGGAGAGGAAGTAGGAAGACCAACCAACATGGAGTCTGCATGCGGGCTGAGTTCACTCAGTCTGAGAGTTTTTCTGTTCAAACGGAAAAAGGATTATTTTCATTTATTAAAAAATACAGGAATTGTGAATAAAGTCAGATTATTGTTGCTTTGATTTAAAGCGTTGAAGCTGAAGGGATTTCAGGGCAGCAGCTGAAATGTTTCCCACTGTCCTTCGGTACAGACCGGATTCAGGAAGTGAAACATAGAAATAAGTTTTACTGAAGGATGACAGAAACCCACCAGAACAGCTGACTGAGGAGGAACGATGTGACGATGCTGCGCTGCCTGATTATTCCAGGTTGGGTTTCAGTCCACGGAGCCTGAATGTGTCTGAGACGTTTAACTCGGCAGCCGAGCTGCGTTAGTTCAGTTCAAAGATTTAAAGTTCTTTACAGGAATTACAAAACATCAGAGAAGGAAAATAAAAGCAATTGACTGGATGATCTGGGTGAACTTTGCCTTGAGATGACATGTTGTTAATCAGCTATATAGAAATAAACTGAATAGAATGGAATAAAAGCTATTCCTCAGTTAGCAGTTTATCTCCATCAGTCAAAGGAGGCTTTAAACTAACCGGATTTTAACTTCAAAGAACTCAAACTTTTGCTCTTTTCCAGTCTGCTGGGAGTTTGTTCCAGATCTGTGGAGCATAGATGCTGCTGGGAGTTTGTTCCAGATCTGTGGAGCATAGATGCTGCTGGGAGTTTGTTCCAGATCTGTGGAGCATAGATGCTGCTGGGAGTTTGTTCCAGATCTGTGGACCATAGATGCTGCTGGGAGTTTGTTCCAGATCTGTGGAGCATAGATGCTGCTGGGAGTTAGTTCCAGATCTGTGGAGCATAGATGCTGCTGGGAGTTTGTTCCAGATCTGTGGACCATAGATGCTGCTGTGAGTTTGTTCCAGATCTGTGGAGCATAGATGCTGCTGGGAGTTAGTTCCAGATCTGTGGAGCATAGATGCTGCTGTGAGTTTGTTCCAGATCTGTGGAGCATGTCCTCACTGACCCATTCTAGTCCAGCATCTCTTGGCTTCTGTTTCTCCATCTGCTTTCTGAGGACTACCCTGACCAACATGGAGCTGATCTAGCCAAGCTCCAAGCACAGGTTCTGGATAATGAACCCACTCTGCCTTCATCTAACAGAACCTCCAATATTAAACTTTTAGATTAAAAACGCATCAGAAAAGGAAAAGAGTCCTTCTTCTTCTTTCCTGAGCCGTCGTTCTATTTTAAAGGCAGACATCATGAAAGCTGAATGACCTGAAAGCAGAAGCAAACATCCTCATTACGTCCCTTCCTGTTTGAAGGACATCTTCAGCTTTATGTTTCTGCTGCTTTAACATCTCAGGTTTTCTCTGAATGGAATCTAGAAATGCTTCTTTCCAGCCAAGCGGAAAGCGGACGGTTTGTCCCCGTCCAGAGCTGGACAGAAATGTCTCTTTATTATTTATTATTTCATTCACATCAAAACCACAGAGAGGAAGTCTCTGGAAATGAGGAGGATTCCGGCTCCAGCCGGTCCCAATAAAACCAGTCTGACCAGGCCATAGAGCGAACTCTAGCGCCACCATCTGTTGGGACCAGAAAGATCCTGAGGTGTTTGTTAAAAAGGCTCATTGGAAGAAGCTCAGACCTCCTTTGTCTCCATAATGAAGGACAATTATGTGTGAAGAGCTTTTCAGATCAGAGCTCATTGAGAGGAAAGAAAACAT